GCAGTGCCTGAAAGGCTAAAAACAGTTGATACGGCAAAGCTCCAGCCCCCTCGCGCGCTTGATCAGGCCCTTAAATGCGTTCGGTCGGGCGCAAATGAAGGTGCTCCATTCCTCCCAATGCAGATTATGGTCAGGGAGGTGGCTGGTGGCCCTGACCCTTGCGTAGAGCCAGGCCATAGCCTCACGCAGGACATCGAGGTACGGAGGGTCCTGGCGAATCAAGGCCCAAAGGACGTCTGGCCCTGCACAGCATAACTGGCGCAAGTACCGCAACCGCTCCGTGCGGAGGATGGTAAGGTAATCCGGGAGATCGAGCAAGGTGCAAGCAGCAGCGACCGAAACATGTTGGTCATCGTTCGGTCCCAGTGCCAGGGTAGCCCTATAAAGTGCAAAAGCGGCGCCTGCAAATGTGCGGGTCTCGCCCTGGCCCAAGGGCGGCCAAGCACCGCATCCGAAGGTTAGCTTACTCATCACCAGGCTGCCTGCGTCCCTCACGAAAGGTGGCCCATGCTGCAGCGCGGCGTTGGCACACCTCAGCTCGAATGGACCCTTCACGGGCGTGGGTGACACCCAAATGTTTGTATGAGTCGATGAGGGGCAGCTGCACAGGGCCCTGGCTCTCCCTGAGGACGCATAAAAAGGCTTTGCCTGAAAAGAACTGGCGACGAGCACTACGTGCTCCGGGCCCACGCAAGGAAAGCAGGGCGGCCGTCTTGCGAGGACCGAAAGAGAGCTCGAACCCATGCCCAGTGAAGGCGTCAGAAAGGGCTCCTGCCTCGGTGGAGATCACCGTTGCCGCCTCCTCAGCTCGCTCCACATTCAAGAAAGCGGACAAGTCATCTGCCCAGATAAGGTCGGACAAATCGACCTGCTGTGTGTGGGCCTCAGTAGGCCCCCAGTGTCTCGCACCATCCCACGGTACAGAAGGGACTATGGCACTCGCAGCTGAAGGGGCCCTACAGGAGTCGCGAAGCTTGAGGATCCTATCAACTAAAATCCGGAAGCTGAGATCGGCCCACGCCGACCCTGGCCTGGTTCCCCTCCGTGTTGCGATCGGAGTGTGGTCCCCCTGATGCATCCAAGTTCCGTCATTAATGACAGATGTCAAGGCACGGAGCCACGGGCTAGCGCCAGTCTGCTCCATGGCCGTTGGCTCCCTAAGCTGATATGGAAGTGTCATGGGGTCGTCAGGCAGAGGTCCATGCGAGCCAGCCGACGCGGAAGCTGGGAGGCGGGATGTGAGTTCCCGGACTGCACAATAGTAGGCAGAGGATACGTCGGCGAACAGAATGGCCAGGTACGGGCCATGTGGGAGCCAAAAACGACGCTTCCACCCGGTCTGCCACCGAGTTGAAGCGGGGGTGCCCGTCTCTCGAAGTGTTCCCGAATACACGGGCGGTAGGCTCGGTGCACGGCCTTGCATAGGTTTGAGAGCAACAAAATACCCCGAAAGGACGAGCAGTCACTGTGTGACCCTTTGCCTTTGAAAAGCCACGTAAGGCTGCCACACTTGTGGCCTACGCCCTCTTCTCCTAAAGGCCCGAGTTTTAGGAGTAGAGGATAAAGTATCCTTTGCATCCCTGAAGCGAACAGCAAACCCAACTCTCCTAGCAGGGAGTCAGGACCACTGGGACACGGCCACACAGCGCCGTTTTTGAGCGCAGCAATGGCTGGGAGCTCATCCCGGGAGACAGCAACACCGTCTTCAAGGGCGCTGAAATGTGCGCGCCAACGACACATGGCGGCCTCGGGGGATGCACAAACTGAGCCATCAAGCTCCTTGACAGCCGGGAGGACCGCGGGTGCATATGGCTTTTTGCGTCTGCGACAAAGAAGACGATTGGCAGCTTGAAATGCAGAAGCGGTGCCGGCCTGAACCTCATCAGCAAGCCCTGCCACATACTCCGCCCTATCACTTTTGCAACGGCTCTTGAGCGCTTTTGCTAGGATCCCCAGGCGGAAACCATATAAGGCATCTGCAACCTGCCATTCCCGCAACCAAGTTGAGGGGCCAGCAGACGCAACCTCGGGGAGCTGGCGCCAAGCCGTAAACACAGCAGAGAGAGTGTGTTTCCAAATGGCCTGTTTCACGGCGGCACATTTGCGCCGCAGCCATGCGACCTGCTGCTGCAGGTCCCAGGCCGTGGCAGAGAGATAGGGGTGAAGCGGGCGCCTAGCCGATTGAGGAAATTCGGCAGCAAGACTGGTCTGCAAATACGAGGTGACAATGGCGACGTGGGCGCTAGCTGTCACCGACCAGTCCGGCCTGGGAGCGTTGCTGAGGATCTCTCGAGTCCGTTCTGCGTTGGCTGGATCAGTGAGGGCTCTGAGGTTGGGCCCCGGCTGGCGGCGGCATGGGGGCGCGCCTGCACCTTTCGCCCACACATAAATGTCGACGGCAGTAGCAAGATGGTCAAGGACCATATTGGCAGCTGTGATGCCCGCACAAGTCCAGGCCCTGATACAGCCTGGTCGCCACGCAGTCGGAAGAAAGACAAAGTCAGGCCTGGTGAGAGCCCCATTGCGCCGCTGAGCAAAGGCCCAAGTCCTTCCTGGATATCGGCGAAAGTAGCAGGGGCCCAAAGTTCGCACTTGGCAAGGCACGCGTGGAGGAGGTCACGGAGTGGTCTTGCTCCTCACCCCCGTGTGAGGAGACGGACTCGGATTCGACAGATGCGGGCCTCCTGGATGGCGGCGCAGTGAACACCTTCGGCTTCAAGCTGAGACGCAAGCAAAGCGGGCCGGGCGGGTTGGAAAGCAAGTCCTTCTTCCGCAACCCGATGCCTTTCCGTAGCAAGGGATCGTGCATTGTATGAGACAAGCCGCATGGTAAGCGCACCCCAAGACACGGATGTAGGGCGAACTGGGGCCGGTGGCAGAAAGGGGGCGACCATTTGTTTCGGCAGACAACCCACCGTCATGCTTGCCGGTACGAATCTCATCGCCGAGTGGCGAAGGCAAGGCATCATCGCCTTGGGCCCAGCGGCAAACAATGCTGGCCCAAGACCAATTTTCGCCCTGAGCTGCCCGCCAATCAACGCCGTCTTCTTGCTCCCAGTGGAGGCGGCCCATAGGAGAGCCTTTGGCGGCCGATTTGGCGGCAACATCTGCAATCTCGTTCCCGAGGATCCCGGCGTGCCCTGGGGTATAGGTGATGGTGGCGGGCTGCACCGCAGTCGCCCGACAGCACTCCGAAACGTGCCCCAGGACGGAGGCGACACCTCCAACCTGTGCGACAGGGAAGAATGCGAGATCATGTCTGGCGCTCTCCCTACCTGGTGCGCCGGCGAAGACGGGGCCCTCTCGGCCTTCAAAGCTGAGTGCTGCGCGTCGATAGCGGCGCTTTGGATCGGCACTTCTGTGGCTGCCGGAATGCATTTCACCGTCGTCTCAGATTGTCAAGCGGCGGTCGCTATCGCATGTGGCGAAGCGGCCGCGGTTGATGAAGACACAGGACCAACCCGCCGTGCAGCCATGGTGCGGGCCATCAGGGGTGTATGAGCCATCCGTGTAGCACACCAACCCAAAAGGCAGTGGATCGCTTGACCGTTCCACCAATCTCCGTAGAACATTCTGCTGGCTTGCCGGGAGTCTGGCATGACACTCTGCAAAGGAAAGGGTGTGAAAGCGAGGGCGGAAGAGGGCATGCAGCTGGCGTGGAGTGAAGTGCAATGGCACCTCACCAAATGCAAGCCTGTTGTCATAGTCGTCCCCTAAAACATTGCTGGCGTCACCCGCGCTGGCAGGGAGAAGAAGTCCTTTGCCCCAGCTACAGAGAAGCCGGGAGGCGGGCAAGGCAAGTTCGACCGCCTCACAGGGTGGGCAAGGACCATCGGCAAGGCCCTCAATTGGCGTGTTCGCGCGACCAGGTTCCATTTCGTCATCACGACGGCCAGTCTCTTTACACCGATCTGCGTGCTCAAGGAGCACCTCAAGAAGAGTATAACTGCTGAAAAGAAGGCATCGCAGGCCGGGTCTGCCACGCATTCTTCGAGTAGCGTGGTCAGACAGCCTAAACCCCCTATTTCGTCTCCCTCGGAGGTAAGTTCCAAACTATCAACCCGATATATGAGGGCAGGCAGCCCCAGTATAGAGAAACCGGGCCAAGCGCGCACCGGTGTGGGGAGGGGACGACAATGCGATGCTGCCGGCTCTCCGTCAAGCCTTGCAGGGCTGCCGCCGTTGCATCCTGCCCGCGTGCCTGTCATATCCTGGAAAAGGTGCTGAACTGCGGCAGCCTCGGGCAGACAACAGCAGAAACGCATCGGCGGGTCTTGTCATAACACCGCCCGAGCCACCTGCAGCAAATACGGCGGCTGCCAAAAGAGGCACCGTCGATCCAAGGGTTCCGGCATGAGTCAGTAGGACAGCAGCTAGCATCACCCTGAGAGGGATCTTGCACAGAGGAGGACAGGGGTGAACCGAGAGCTGCCCGAGGGGGGGGCGTGATTGGAGTGTCTCACGGAACACATGGCTACTCGACTCTGCGCGGCAAGGCTTTGGTCCGCATAACCTTGGGCTGGCCTAGCCTGGCGCCTGGAACTGCAAGTGTGCGTGCGAGATCCGCCTGTCCCCGCATCAGCAGACGTGCTTACAACAGATGCACCGGAAAGTGAGGCAGGGGGCACGAAGGGGATCCCGTAGCGTCAGAGGAGGAGGCCGACCCGTTGGAGGACGCGGGTGGAGCAGGTACTTTGTACTTTGTACTTTGTATGACGCAAACTGTCCAGCAGTCTCGCGCTACGCTACAATGCACAGTGGCATCGGCTCAGAGTGAGCAAAAGCAGTGAATCCCACCGGGCTAGCCACATGTGGGCAAACACTGCAGGAGTGGTTTTAAAAACCAACGTCAGCATTAACAAAGGTGAGACAGAGCACAAGTCATCGATCTAACCAGACGTGCTGGACTACTCGATCGTATATACACATCGGTCTGACCAGACGTACTGGACTACTAGACCTTTGTTCACATGGCATCGATCTAACCAGACGAACTGGACTACTCGATCGTATATACATCGTGGTCTAACCAGACGAACTGGACTACTAGACCTTTGTACACATGGCAGTGGTCTAACCAGACGGACTGGACTACTCGACCGTATGTACATGTACAAAGAGGTCCCATGCTGTAAATAGACCGTTGATGAAGCAACACCATCGAAATCAGAGGCACCATACAGAAGATTGAAGAGCAGTGGATCGGAAGCTGATAGATAGCATGGCCCACCAGACTGTGAAGGCCATGCAGTCAAAGAAACAGCTGTTGAGGCATCAGACCAAGGTACCATACGTGGCCAGTATATATAGCCAGTGAAGAACAGTGGTCATAGTAGTAGTAGGATCATCCAGCTGAATGCGACGGCATGCCACCGTGTAAAGCTCCTCATAAAAGTCCTCCCGATGGGCACCCACTAGTAGTTGTTTGAAATAGCATATGGCACCAGACATGGAAAGCTGATAAACATTGCGGTGTAGCTGCTGAAGAAGCACCTGTTTCCACTCGGCATCTGTACATGGAGCCTGCTCAAAGTAGTAATAAATGCCCCATTCAACAATATCCACGGCGGAAAAACCCCACTGATGCAAAAATTGAGCAAGGTGGTGGGGAGTAAGAAGTTGAGAGGCAGGCTGATCGGCCCAGGTATGTAGCATATCCATCGTGATACATGAGATAGGTTCACTTCCTCGGTCTCGAAGACAATGTGGTACATCATCCAGAGAATCAGATGTTGCCGGAACCAGGACCAATAGCTGCGCAGGTGTGCCATGTGAACCACTGCTGGATGCCATACGTGCCTGAAAACTGGATGTCGTGCATCGGTTCTGAAGACAGTGTGGTACATCATCCAGTGAATTGTAGGTGCCTCTGGCATCCATCCACCGGGCACGCTGTCTGGACTGATAAATACCGAAAGGCACGTCATGTAGTAAATTATAGGGCATACTGGCAGCATCCAGACTTGGAACTGCAGCTGAATCCGTCGGTGGGGTGGAGCAGGTCCACTTGGCGGGGCATCAGGAACAGGTCCGTCAAAAAACTGCAATGGTAGCAGGATAAGAGTGATGACATCACCGGTATGCACGTGGATGTCAGAGTGCAACACTGCTGGGTAGTTGTGGGGCCTAAACCATCCGATAACCCAACCAGCAGGACAGCGGTTGCTATATTGATCCCACAAGCTCTCGGCTCGAAGGACCCCGTCGGGGGAAGTACGCCCAGAAATACCCAAAAGAAGGGGGCGACAATCCAGAAAGAATGTTGCTCGACCCCCAGCGTTCCCTGGAAGGACATGTTCGGTGCCCGCAATCACGACACCTCGGGCAGGCAAACCAACATGCGCAAAATCTGGAATGTTAGGCTCCGGCGGGCATAGGCGCAACTGAGCATGCGAGACGCCGAGCCGCCTGGCCAAATCCTGCCTCATCGAGTCGCCGCGCCCCGGCTCGACGTGGAACATAAAAGGCCTTCCGCCTGGAAGCACCCACAGTGACTGACGGTACTCAATTTGCGGAGCCCAGTCAACATTCCAACCTGCGGCTGAAAGCAGCATGTCCTCAAAAGAGACAGTTGTGAAGTAGCCGCTGTGGGCGGTCAGGACCACAACGACGTCCCCGTGGGAGACCTCTACAAAGCCGCCTTCTGGGATGGGCCAGGGCATGTCATGGATATAAAGTTGATGTCCCCGGTCCAAGGGCAACTCGGCAAGAGAAAGCAAAGTGCGCCTGGTGACACGGTTCGGCGCCTGTACCGAAAAGACCGCAACGTTCACACGGGAACAATGGAAAATGAGCACAGCCCCGTTAGGCTCCCAGATCGGTAAGGAGACAACGACCCCAACTCCGTCAACTGATTGCTGCCGTGCCGCCTGGATGCGGGGCGGCTGAAATCGGGACGCAGGAGCTCTGGCTGCATTCACCATGGAAAGGACATCAGGTGGTGCTAGGCCACTCCGAAACCGGACCTGAACAAGCTCCGGAACATATATGCAGGTCCAACCAAAAGGAAAACCCCATCTATGTATTCCGGAGCAACACGACTTGTTTGGGAATCCTCGCCCGTCACCTCCAAGTCGTGCGCGGGAGGGTCGTCACTGCCAAGCTCTGGAATTTGTAGGGCCAATCCGTCGGAGTCTTGGCTCCCTGTGCCCGTTGCGAGCGTGTCGAGTCTCATGGTCCCGGCCTCGGAACCATGAGTGTGCGCAGAACCTGAGGCGACGCTGGGCCGGTACACAGGGTTCCTCCCAAAAGGTCGATGACGCGGGCAACTGGCTCGCGTACAACGAGTTGCCGGGCCGGAGGCCGAGCAACCACAAGCTTAATGACAAGTCCGTCACAAACCTCCAATTCCCGCACCTGCGCAGGGACACCCTGGATGCCAACAACCCAACCAGGAGGAGTGCAGTGAGCATAATCAAGAAGGAGCCTTGCACAATCGATGGTGTTTGTTTGCAGGCCGATCGACCGCCAGCCTTGCAGAAGTGCGCGGGCATCAATTAAGACCCCCGTCCGCACAGCCCCTTGCGACGGGCTCCTCGCACACACAGCAACAGCGGTTATGCACAAAAGGCCATCCAAGGTAACATCCTCCTGGCGCGGTGAGGCCGGGAACAGTTGAAGATCACGGCTTGTTATACCCACACTCGCAGCTATCTGCCTGCGGTAATCGGTAGGGCGTCGCGGGTCCGCGATGTACAAAACGGTGTCCCAATCATGCGCAAGGCAGTACGCGTGCGCATCCTCAAGCGCAGGAAAAGGGCAGTGGCGGCTCCAGGAATATCGAGAAGTCAATAGCTGCCCTAGGGAGAAAGTAGGGTGTCGGACAGCCCCCAGAGGCAAGAAAGTTACCGTCATCCCCGGCTGAACGTGCTGCATCTCTTCGGTTTCAAGTGGATAAGGGTCATTACCAAAGAAAATCCGAACTCCCAAACGTTCCTGGATGTTGGCCAACGCAAGCAGCTGTGTTTTGCAAACATATAAAAGAGCAGGCACTGAGAAGAGGCGGCGGTCAAGATGTGTAGAGTCAATACAGATGAGGCAACGGTCGGGGCACCAAGCTGGGAGAGCAAGGAATAGACCCGCGCCAGAGTAGGGTTGGGGATCCGCAGGCAGTATGACAGGAAAAGCAATAGCAGCCTCCTGCCGCCTGGCCTGGCTAACCGCGAGAGTGGCTTCCTCCACAGTCGCCGGTAGGCGCAGAGCTACAAGGACCCTTTCCAAGGCGTGGCCGGGGACGGCTATAGCACAGTGGACCCATCGCACCGGGTCCTCGTCTTCCGATGTTTCGGTGTCCGAACCCCCTACGTCATTGATGAACTCAGCGTCATCTGCAGGCACATATCGCCACGTTCTTCCTAGCATTGGGGCAGAAAACCTCAAAAATGCCAAGGCTTGCCGCATGGGGCCACTTGTAGCGGCCGGTTCGGATAGCCACTTGCATGTGAGAAGGCCTGCGAACCCACTAAACAGCTGGAAGACATGTGCTAATCCTGGGTACAGATCGTGATGCGCACCTCCATCAAGAACCCTGGAAAGAGGCCCCGCTTGCACGAGTGACAGGCTTGCAAGTGCGAGCAGGGCTGACGCAAGATCACATCGGGGGTAGGGGCTGACTCGGACGCGCCAGCCACGCGGCTGCGCCGGGTGAAACTTCGCCCTGTCCGAAAAGTGGCTTGCGGCGGACGAGGCAAAGGGAGCAGCAGCACACCGACGGGAACGGCGCCGGCGCCCCGACCTCGAACGTGGTCGACCATGCGAACGAGAACGGATGCGATTGCGGGGCCCGACTGGAGCTGGCGCTGGCTGGGAGGATGAAGTAGAACTAGACTCTTCTTCACCCTCATCTGTTGTCAGGGATGTCCGCCGAGTCAACATCA